GAAGAGAGGGAGGAGTACCATACTGGGAGTGGGGGATGGGGTGGGGGCGGTACCTGCAGCAGTGTGAGGTCACTGGGGGTGGGGGATGGGATGGGGTGGTACCTGCAGCAGTGTGAGGTCACTGGGGGTGGGGGATGGGATGGGGTGGTACCTGCAGCAGCATGATGTCATTTTTTACTGTCTTGCTGTCGTACTGCGGGTGGGGGATCTGTCGGCGCACGCGGATGCGTTGTTGGCTCGGTTCCTTTCGACTGAAGTTGTGGGCTCCAAGGATGACGGTGATCTCGCTGTAAAGGCCAAGAGCTATGAATGGGCCATTGGGGGCAGGATGGGACGTGCCGAGGGGGATGAGCACACGAGGCTCCCGCTCTTGCACAGCGACGTGGGGGGCACAGGGCAGCCTGGGGACTTCAGGCCGAGATCTCAGAGTCAACCTCTGACATGGAGGAAGATCCGTGGCTCTTGGGGGCTGTGTGAGCTGCAGCCTGGGCAGGGCCTGGGTCTGGCTGGCTCAAGAGGTGGGAGGAGGCACCAGGAGTGTTTCTCTTCGGGGGGCAGCAGAAGCACAAAGCCCCTGCCCAGTGGGGTTGGGATCCCAACTTCTCTCAGCACCAGCCCCTTGAGCTGCTGCCCCGAGCTTCCCTCCCTGCTGCCCCATGGCCCCTGGGTCTCCGTCCCCCTGCATCTTTGTTTCTCTCCCAGCTGGATCCACACAGGGGTCCATGCCCAGCCCCCCAGCTCCAGGCCCTTCAGAGGTGCCCTGGGGCTGTGACCCCTCTCTGCCCCATGCTGGGCAAGGGACCAGACCCCAGCTGGGCTCCCTGCTCGCAGCCCCATTGATTTACCCAGCGCTGGGGCTGGGCCGTGGGTTGCAGAGGCCCCTAGAGACTCACTGAAACCCCAAGAGCAGGTCCAACCCCTGGACTCTGGTCCCCCAGCCTGGCCACCCCCTGCCACTCCTTCCCTTCCCCTCACACCAGCACCAGAGCTCCCTGCACCTTCCCCCCCGCTGATCCCACCACCCCCACATCCCAGCCCAGAGGCACTTACTCTCCCTGGCAGTGAGCGGCCGTCAGCACAAAGTTCTTCGCCACCAGGAACCCGCCGCAGCGACTGTATCTGTCTCCATGTTGTATATCCAGAAAGGCCATGTAGGGCCTGGAGTGGGGCTTGGCTTCATGCCCCCCGACGATCTCACCTAGGGGGAAGCCAGATTCATAGAAAAGACCCTGTTGTCTCCCCCGGCCAGGCTGGGACCCAGCGCCCCACCCCGAAGGGGAGACCCACAGCCTCATGTCTCTCCAGTGATGCTCTCCCTGGTGGCTCCCTGGGCCTTTATCCCAGCCCCCTGCTCTCCTCTGCCCCACACTGGGCCCCCCATGGGGCCAGAGGTTAAATCTGCAGCTCTCACCTGACTGGGTGCGAAATCGGACAAGAGAAAATGACAAGAAGTGAAACGGACACACCCAGCTCCCGTCTGCTTAGCCCTGCTGTCTTCCCTGTCCTATCCCATAGCAGCGTTTGGGTCCTTAAGTGTCACCCCATTGGCCAGTGCCTAGGGCACATGATCGGCACAGCAGGTCGGCAAATTCAAACCAAACACCGATCCCCTATATGGGAGGAGGACTCAGGCCGGTTATTTTCCTCCAGCCAAAAGGAAATAGATAATCACCCATCCTCCAGACTGCTCCTTGGGCCCAGCCATGAGATGAATTCCGCAGGAAAGAATACAGAATATTGGGCCCAGCCATGAGATGAATTCCGCACGAAAGAATACAGAGGATGCACTGGGCTCCTCTTCATATGTTCAAAACCGGTGCTGCTCCATCAGCTGGGAGCCCAGACTCACTCCCAGTGTCCTACACCCCTCGGCTTTAAGGAGGAGAGAATGGGAGAATGGTTTTTTTTTCTATCAAAGTCAATGAAATCTTCCACCCAGAGAGTGTTCCCGGTGCGCTGGATAAATCCAGGAGATGTTGGCTCAGGAGGGCACGAACCGTGGTGAACACACGAGTAGCACAAGGACGGAAATCCCAAAAAGTGGCCGACAATGCAAAATCGGAATAGAAATGTCCTAAACTTTGCTCTCACGGAAAGAGCTGTTGACTGTTCCCGAGAAAAACTGTCAGGGACCTGAAAGGCTGTCCTGGGATGTTCTGAACACTCCTCTCGAATGCATAGACTCCTCCTGCAACCTCTCGTCTTCCCTCCCCATGTTCCTCCCTTCCCTGTATCTGTCCCTCTTGTCTGATTTTTGCTTCCAGCCTTTTGACCTAACCCGGGGACTGTCTGTCTCAGGGGGTATGTCTACACTACCCCGCTAGTTCGAACTAGCGGGGTAGTGTAGACATACCCCCAATGCTTCTGGCCTGGCTAACATGAGGTCGGAAATATTTAATATCTTAAGACATGTCTGTGCATTATGAGATGTTTAGGTGCATTGTGTGGCTTGTTTGCTCCCTCTTCCCATGTATCCTAAAAATTAATTAAGAAAACGTTACAAAAGGAAAACAATTCACTTTGGGGGGTTTCAGAGAAGGATTCTAACCACTCATATTGCAGAACCCCCAATGTTTCCAGCCAGGCTAAGATGAGAGAGGATATATTTCACATCATAAGCAATCATGCGACGTTTCAATGTATTTTGCTGTTTGCTTTCTCCCTCTCTCCCTAACCAAATGTTACTAGAAAAAAATTAATATTGGGGTGTTTTTCAATGAAAATTTGAAATTCCCATACAAATATTCCATAGAATCTCAGAACAGAAGAACTGGAATGGATCTTGAGGGGTCATCGAGACAAGTCTCCTGCCCTCAACCTCCCTAGGCAATTTATTCCAGCGTTTCACCCCCCTGACAGATCGGAAGTTTCCATCATGTCCAACCTAAAGCTCCCTTGCTGCCGTTTAAGCCCATTGCTTCTTGTTCAATCCTCAGAGGTTAAGGAGAGCCCATTGCTTCTTGTTCGATCCTCAGAGGTTAAGGAGAACAACAACAATTTTCAGACTCACTCTGGACAGGTGTCCACCCAGGTGGGGGAAATCAAAGCGAGGAGATCGGTTTAAAGACGGGAGGGTGGAAGGGACAGGAGGGGCAGATGAGTTATGGAAATGGAAGGATGATGTCGGCACAGGGCGAAATGGGAAAAATGAGGCAGGGAGGGGTGGCCTGTCGGACTAGGTGGTTTGGTTAGACCCCTGGCAACCCCCCATTGGGAGGTTTCCCTGTGGGTCGACCCAGCGCTGGCTCTGTGAGGTTAGCCGGCCGGGAGGGCGTTTCAGAGGCTATCAGCCCGGTTTCAATCAATATCAGGGAAGCGCCGACCCAGCCGCACTTCAGATGTGTTTGAAAATCAGAGGAGTGAAAGCCAATGGAGTTAGTGTGACGCTCTGCGTTGAACTCCCCCAGAGAGGGCTCCTGGATGTTAGTCTGGTGCCATATCGATGAGCCTGTGCTGAGAGCCTGTAGCTGGTATTTAATATGGTGCCACGCCCAGAGCAGGGCGCATGTTGTGCCGGGTGCGGCAGAGACTCTGACCGAGACCAGGGCTCTGTTGGGTTGGGAGCTGCCCAGACTGTGCCCCAAAAAGCTTTAATTTCATGACAGCCCAGGGAAAGGAACATACAACTAGAATCCCAGGAGTCCTGGCTCCCAACTCCCCCTTCCTGTGCTAATCACTGGACCCCACAGGCACACTGGGGAGAGAACCCAGGAGTACAAGTTCCCAGCCCCTATCTGAAACCCCCCCCCCCCCCCGCCCTCTCCCGCCCTCTCTCTACCTCTTT